TCTCAAAGACTAACATACTATTGGCAGAGTGTGGGAAAGCAGACATTCTCATACACTGATGACAAGAATATATAAATTTGCCAATATCTATCAGAATTACAAATGAGCATAAAATATACCACGTGCTGAATTATAAATGTGCAAGGATATTTGTTGTAGCATTGACTGTAATATAATAGGATTGGAAATTTTAAATGTCCATCAGTAGCACACTGGTTAATTAAACGACAGTACATTCTTGCAATGGAGCGATGGAGTATACGTAGCCCTTTAGAAGAATGAAGGAGTGCTATATATACATATAAATATTTTTTTTCCTAGGAAAACTCTCTGATGTATATTGTTAAGTGAGAAGAGCATGATATTAATACAGTGTGTATTTGTGCTAACTTTGTCTAAGATATATTTATCGGTATACACACAGACTATCACCGAATAAAAAGGATACCAGAAATTGCTAATATTGGTTGTCTAAAGGAAGACATTACTGAATAATTGGACGAATGAAGACAGAAGCTTAAATTGTACTATGTGCTCTTCTGTATCCTTTACATTTTGTTCCAAGTGCAAATAATACCTACTAATAATGCTGATGATAATCACGGTGATGATAACAAATGATCATGAAGAGAATTAGATGTACTGAGATTGAATCCCAGTCTGCCACTTACAAGACGTGTGGTCTTTGTTAAATTGTTTAACTTTCAGGTCTGTCCCCTCAAATAAAAAAGTAGGAGAATAATAATACAAATCTCCCTGGGCAGACTGAAAGTAGATACTCAATACACATGTATTGCTGGACTCTCCTGAACTTATGTAACAAATGGAAAGTGTTTGTTGCAGTGACTGGTACCTGTGGCACCTCAATCAATGTAGCGAACTCTGCTGCTGCTGCTGCTGCTGTTAGACATCTATCCTGCCTCCTCACAGGATGTCTAGAAGTTCAACTTGGCAAAAGGTGCTCTTTCCCTGAAGTGATAACTGGCTTCTCTGCCACCCCAGGGACAGATCAGGAGGCAGCCAGCATTCTTATGGGCTCCTCTCCTGTTGGCCCTATCCCAGTCACTGTCTCTAATTGGGATGGGAGATGTGTTCCCTGGAGCCCCCAGGTATGCCTTGGGCCTGTGCCCTGTGCACACTTGACATTGCAAACTTTAAATTGCTTCTGGGACTAGCAGGGCCCCTGCTGGAGTAGCTAGGGAGTCAGGTATCCCGCGGAGTCCACGGCTGCTACTTGAGGACACCCTTCAGCTGCTGGGGAAAGTCTAGTCTTGGGATTTCTGAGCCTCAGACCAGGATGCCGGCTCCTCTACATGAAGAGTCTGTCACTGAGACACCAGCATTCAGCTAGCACAACTCAGAAACAGGAAGCGAGAGAAACACCCATCACAGGCTAAAGTTTCCACAAGGATTTAGAAGGACAAGGAAGAAAGAGGGTCTCAAAGATAAGAGAAGTCAGGCAAGGCAGTGTTGGGGGTCTTTCTCTGGCATCCAGGGACTGGTCTGGGGTACAGTGGGGAGTTGATAATCAGGTCTGGGATCAGGAGACTTAAGGAAGTGGCCACCAAGAAGAAAGCAGATGGGAAGAGCTGGGCTTGGCCAGGGACAGAGGTGGTAGCACTGCCTCTGCAGAGCACGTCCCTAAAACGTGCTTTCCTGCTCGCCCTGCCTGTATTCCAAGAACACTTCCAGCTGCAACTGGTCCTGAGCAGCTGCTGCTGGAGCAGAGAGGAGCAGCTGAGGTAGGGAGCTCTCCAGACTCCGCTGACCAAGTCCCCGCCCTGCCCTTGCCGCTCTGACCCCACAGCTGGCAGGGATCCCATCCCCACTCTGCGGGAGGCTCAGAGGGACATGGAACTTCCTAGGGGTGGAGGGTGACAGGTAGGCTGGCACCCAAACCCTCTGTCTCTCCATTTCCCATCTGTGGCTGGTTCTTTCCAATTTTCTCTCTTTTCATGAATGCTGAGATTATTTTTTTTCTTCTGAATACAAACTAACTTGTGCCCATGGTATTAAGAGAAAATTGGGGGAATTCTGAAGAGGTACCAAGAGGAATGCCCTGCTCCTATTGATTTTGCTATAATTAATTTCCAGTCATTTTTTATCCACACATATTGTTTACCTAATCGAGATTGTAACCGTGTTATGATTATAACAATGTTGTTTTTAATGATCATGACAATGTTACTTTTGCCATTTAATTTATTATTATAGTGTAATAATATTATCATATAAAAGTGTTATGATTATAACAATGTTGTTTTTAATGATGACAATGTTACTTTTGCCATTTAATTTATTATTATAGTGTAATAATATTATCATATAAAAATTATAAACAAGACTTTAATGTCAGATATTCCATTGTATAAAATGCCGTGACTTACTTGGGCATTTATTGATTGAGAGTTATATTGTTTTTTTATTTTCACTCAAAAATACTGCTGTGATGAATACTGTTATTAAGAGATACTGGCCCTCCTCCCTTAGTCTTGTTTCCTAGAGGTGGAATTGCTGAGGCAACTGATAGGCAGGTTTTTAAAATTTTTAGCTAGGCAAATTGCTGTCCAGAAAGTCTGTATGAGAGGGTCTGGGGCTCTTTTTACTACACCACATTGCCTCCTGTTTCTCAGCTGCCTGCTGGCTCCACAGACAGGTCAGGAGGAGACCACAAGCCAAGCCGGGTCTGAGGCAAGCTGAGGCTGCGAACCCGCAGGATGCATCCACCAAGGTAAATCCTTCCCCTCCTCCTGGCTCTCCCTGGCTGCCCTCCCACCTCCCTCATTTCCTGCTACAGGGGCCAGAGCTCTTTGCTTCCCTCCTGAGCTCCCCTCCAAAGCCTGACACAGCCCTATTTCCTGCTGAATGATCCTTGATGGAAAGCCAAGAATCAGATGTCCCCTTAATATACACGCACACACACCCCACACCCAAAGAAGTGGGCAGCCGCCTTCGCCAGGACCGCTCCCTGCCTGCTGAGACAGCACCGGCCAGTCCACGAAAGCCCTCACAGTTGGGATGCCCTGGGAAGCATGTGGTTCAGCCCTCTCCTGGTGCACATGGAGAAACTGAGGCCTAAGAAGAAGGGACTTGCTCAAGCTACAGAAAATATCCATCACACAGGTAGGGGTAGTGCCATCAGCTCTGGTCTCCAGGGGCAGAGTCTGCCCAGCTGTTTAGATCATTCCAATTGAACAAACTTATTCAGCACGATTTAAGTGACAGGCACTGCGGCTCACACAGATGCAGCTCTCCAGCAGGTCAGATCCTGTGCATCACTCGTGTCCATACCACATTATTCATGGGTTGAAGCTTCTGTGTGCATAGATTTATCAGGTGGGAGTGGACAGGGTGGCTTCCCTAACAGAAGCCACTTTCCTTGGCCTCTGCAACCACAGCATCTCTTTATCACTACTGAATCTTGTTTGTGACAATGACTATAATATTTACTTTTTCATTTTCCGGAGTGGGTGGGAGATCCCCCGGAAGGAATGAGAGATAATTGGGGGCAGAAGTTCATGGTGGGGCACCCAGTGTGGGTGTGTCTGCACTGAGCCATCAGGAACACCCTCATGTGCTGTACTGAGGGATGGGGAAGGGTAACAGCATTGCACAGAAAATGCCATCCAACCCATGGTGGCATCATGGGGGAGACTTCTGCTGGGCGAGGTAAATGGTTCTCTAATGGGCACAATTTTTTATGCACCAATTCATCCTGGAAACATTTGGCCATGTCTGGAAACATTTTTGGTTGTTACAACTCAAGGCGAAGGGTGAAGCAGCCACCGAGGTGAACCGAGACGCTTGCAGCACTGCACTGGGGGCCGAGGGTAAGGCCCCGGGGTCCATCCACTCCTACACACACATACAGAGCCATTTCAATAAAGAAGGAGCTATAGGAATATGATCAATGGGGACTCTAAATGTAGAGACTGGAAATCCTCTCCGTACAAGTCTTCCTATAAGCTAAGTGCTTGTGAGGAACACAGAGTAGGGTCAGACATCCAGAATATTACACAAAATATAAACACAAAAGGACAAGGAGAAAACATTCCTGGCCACTTCGGGTTAAGAATTTTACCAATGTCCTATGAGACGGAATTGGAAGTTAATGGCCTATACCCTACTGTCTCATAACTGTAGTTAAAGTGTGGTTAAGAGTTGAGCTAACTGCTGAGTGAGCTGCATAGTGTTACTCCGGAGTGTGAGCTCAGTCACTCCGATCAATTCACTTGTTGGCTTACTAAAGTTCCAAGCTGTTCGACCTCTGCACACATTGCTATAAATATATATCTGTAATAGGCAGACTCTAAGCTAACGACGGTGAGGCTACGTTGCTAATAGTGAGCAGAATGAAGAAACAATTCTCTTTATGCCTGAGCCTTTACCAAGGCTCGATTCTCTGTGGACGTGAATTCACAGTTATATAAGTTCCTCCCATAAGTAATCAAAGTTTGAAGAAGCACGACCATTCACTAGATTTAATAATTGGATTGGCTTGGGGATTTTCCTCTCTGAGAATCTATGAAAACCCAAATTAAATGAAATTTCTATAAATTTACATTAAAGAGAAATAATTCATAGCATTTTTCAGCTGTTTATCATAATGCACAGGAAAAACTCTCCTTCCAGGGATTAGCTCTGCTGGGTTCAAGTCCTGCATCTGTTGCCAACTTGTTCAAAAGACTCAGACAGGTCACTTCCTCTCTCTAGGCCTCAGTCACCTTTATGAGCACTGAGAAGGTGCAGCAATGTCAGAGAACCCCTTTACACACAGCTGGCACATTTGAGAGCCTCACACAGTGTGGGTCCAGCTCTGACTTTCTCTCTTCTAGGAGCTAGGGAATACCCCCTTCTGTCTCTTTCGGTCGTTTTTCTCTTGCACACGTAAGTTCTCCTATTATGCAGCAGAAACTTTACCACATCCCGGATGCCTAAGACTCTTCCCAAGAAAGCCTAATGTACTGCTTTGTACTTTGCCAGTGACAGAGGTATATCACATGGAAAAAGCCAACGAGACCTCTCCTGTGTTGGGGTTCATTCTCCTGGGGCTCTCAGCCCACCCAAAGCTGGAGAAGATATTCTTTGTGCTCATCCTGCTGATGCACCTGGTGGTCCTGATGGGCAAC